CTGGGGAGCAACTCTGTGGAAAGGGACCTAAGGGTCATGGTGGACACCAAGCTCAATAGGAGTGACCAGTGTGCTACTGCCACAACAGAAGCCAACAGGATGCTGGGTTGCGTCAACAAGGGCATCACCAGCAGAGATAAAGAAGTTGTTATCCCACTCTACTCAGCACTTGTCAAGCCACACCTGGAAAACTGTGTTCAGTTTTGGTCCCTGCTATGCAGAAAAGATGTGGATGGGCTGGAGAGGGTCCAGAGGAGGGCCACAAAGATGATCAAAGGACTGGGAAGCCTGCCATGTGAGGAAAGGCTGAGAGAACTGAGTTTCTTCAACCTTGAGAAAACAAGGCTTAGGGGAGACCTTATCACCATGTTCCAGTATTTAAAGGGTGGCTACAAAGAAAGTGGAGACTCCCTTTTTACAAGGAGTCACATGGAAAAGACGAGGGGTAATGGGTACAAGTCACTCCTGGGGAGGTTCCAATTGGGCACAAGAGGAAAATTTTTCACAATGTGAACAATCAGACGTTGGAATAATCTCCCCAGGGAAGTGGTGGATTCCCCAACCTTGGACACTTCTAAGATTCAGCTGGACAGGGTGCTGGACCATCTTGTCTAAACTGTGCTTTTGCCAGGAAAGGTTGGACCAGATGATCCCTGAGGTCCCTTCCAACCTGGGATTCTATGATTAAATCCATTTAATTCCTGATTGCTGCACAAGGTAATCAACAGACTTGCAGGTTTACAAATAATCCTAGTAAATGGAGCTGCTCCGTATTGTGGAGCTGCAGCTGTGCTCAGTAATACATCTACAGCTGGCTTTAAAGTCTACAGGCATCTGAATAAAGTCTCCGGCTTTAAAGGCTGTTCTCAAGTTGTTTTCAAGAATTAAAAATCTCTTCTGATTCCAGTGTGAGCTGCTTTGGGTTCCTGGTGTTAATCTAGTTGTGACTGAGAAATTATTTACAAAATAATATTGCAGTATTGCTGTCTCTCCTGTGTATTTGCTTCCAGTCTTTAGCTTTTAAATGTCACTGGACAGTTTGGGAATGGCAGAAAGGAAAAAGGTGATGCTTTTCGTTTAGAAAGGAGTGTGATATGAGCTGAGCTAACTGCAGCTTATTTATTCCAAGTAGTACTGATAGTGCTACCTTGGGAAGATTTGTAGCTTTGGTTGAACTGAAGCAAATAAAGACAAAGCAGAAAGAAATCTTGTATTTACCAGTCCCCTTAAAGACTTTCTTGTATGGAGAGGAAAATGCATGGTTTGAATAGAAAACTAAAACATCTTGAAACAGAGGTGTGTGAATAATTCTTATTTTTGGCTTAGTTGCCAAAGATGGCATGGGTAGATTCAGAGTTGGGTTAACCTAAACTTTAATTTGTCTTTCTGAAAAAAGTTGCGCAACGAAGGAGGCTACATCCCCTTCCCATCCGGCACCCAGAAAAAATAACGAAGACTTTTTCCTACAGCCTCTAAATGGAAAGAATTGCTCCCCACCCTAAAGGGAACCTACGTAACTCCAATAACTTTTAGAAGTTTAAACTTAGATGAGATCAGTTCCATGCTGGGCACTAGTCTGAGCCTCACTGACACTTGGTTTATGTAGTCAAGGTAGCACAGCAGCAATAAGGATGGTGCAGAGCTTCTATCCTGTTCTTAGCTGGGATGGCTTCTCTGAGATGTGGGGTCATGGCCATACTCTTCACTTTGACTTTCCACCCAGTGGAGTGGAATAACTGTTACTTAATGACTAGTGGGGCTGGTATATGGATGTGGCTCTGTGAAGCTGAGGATTGCTCCAGTGGTATCCAGTATATGTCCAACAAATGTCCTGTTAAGAAGCATTTTTCTTATTGACGCAGACCAACTACAGGGTTGGATCCGTGGATGGAAGTTGATAAGGGGTCATGTGCAGTACTATTGTACTTGAGTATCTTTTATTGCCTTTATTAGGCCAGCAACAAAGTGGAAGTGGACATGGAGAAGGCAGAGAGCTTGCGTGTGACAAGAGGAGACTTCTTTGCATCTTTGGAGAATGATATCAAACCAGTAAGTAGGCACTATGTAACTCCTGTAATAGTCACCTGGTACAGTTAATGAAGTAAGGTAGCAGCCTCCTTCTGGGATCAGACACGCAGCGGTGCACCATGGGCTGACATACTGTGTCCTGTGTTGTAGGAATGAAAGAAGGGAGCCTCTTTCTGCCTGCAGTACTAAGGCTTTGTTTGAACAGTACCTTTTGTTGTATGCAAGAATCATAAAAAAGGAATAGAACAAATAAAGAAAGCAACCTGGAATTTCTTCTCCTTGTCGTATGTGCACTATCCCTTTTAGGCTACTTCATTTAATGGATGGTAGCTTTACTATGGACTGCAGTAGGAGTTTTAAGCCTCATTTTTGAGAATTGTCTTTAAATGGCATGGATTCAGAACCTATTGGCAACTTGCACTGATTAGAGTTTGCTCTGAGGGTATACGAAAAGATGTTTCTAAATGTGCCTGGTCTCCAACAGTGTTCAGTCCTTTGAACTGAAATGTTGTGTGTCACAAGTGAGTCTTCCAGTGCTGACTGTCTCACTTAAGCATCTTCCAGAGCCTTGGTCCTGGTTGCTTTGGTGATGCTTAATTGTTTCATGTTTTCCTGATGTGATGCAAAATTTCTTGGTAAAATAAACGGTCCCTCTCTTAATACAGGCATTTGGAACCAACCAGGAAGACTATGCAAGCTACATCATGAACGGTATTATTAAGTGGGGTGATCCAGTAACAAGGGTATTGGATGATGGGGAGCTACTTGTTCAACAAACTAAGAACAGTGACCGCACTCCTTTGGTTAGCGTTCTTCTAGAAGGTAAATTTAATATTTTTTTTTTTTCCTTAAAAAACCAAGTGACTTCTGTAAACTATTCCTATCAGTTGCACAAGTGGTCATCTGTTATATCCTGCAACTGTATGTAAAATGAAGTTGCTTTAGATATTAAAACTGGCTTCTCAACCTGAGAGAAATCCTATTCTTGGAACAACAGAGAAGTGAATGTACCCAGTTAATAACCTAAATGTGGATATTTTGCAGTGCAGACATCTCTAGCTGAGTTAGTTGTCTCTTTGAAGTCACTGCAGAACTCATCAGTGTAATTAGCTGAGTTCAAACAACAGTTCATCTGGCCACATTTAGGTGTCTGCTGTTAGTCAGAGGTGGATTACTCTCTGCCTAAACTGGTACTGACCATGAAGGGTCTAGGAAACTAGTTCCACTATTTGCGTTACAGATATTGGAGTCGAATCTGTTGTTTAGCCCTTCCCTCTTTCTTTTCCTGAAGTCAAAAAATGTGGATTACTGCTATTGCTTAGCGATCTGTAGCTTTGAAATTAACCTTGAATAGATCCCCTGAATAATTTTGCGTGCTTGTGGCCAACATATGCTTGTATGCAATACCTTCTTGCACTCCAAATTGATTTGTATTTGGTGTATAGATTAAGATGTGTCTTTGATCTCTGTTTGAATTATTCTGGTGTGAAATCAGGCAAATAACAGATTGTTTTTGTCAATATTTATCTGGCATTCATACTGTTGACTTGTTTGCCATGGTACCTGCAAAAATCATGTTTAGAAGGGGCATAAACATAGTTCAAGAAGTTTCTCAAAAATACAGACACATGCTAATTTTGGTGCAGTGACCAGTCCTTCAAAATGTGTAATGTCCTCTTTTGTATTGGTTTCAGGGCAAATCAGTCTGCATGTGCTCAAATTAGTTGCATGAATTTCCTTCATCTGGAGGACTGGATTGCAGTAGGAGTTAGCGTTTTCCTTCTGCAAGTAGAAGGAAAGGTCATTTCAAAATGCAGATACCTCTGAATGAGATTATAACCATGCTTAAAATATCATCCATGCTGAGCCTTACCAGACCTGTTTTCTCCCTTGTTTTTTCATTATATTGGTCCTTTGTTTTAGGTCCCCCCCACAGTGGGAAGACTGCTTTAGCAGCAAAAATAGCAGAAGAATCCAACTTTCCCTTTATCAAGATCTGTTCTCCTGATAAGATGATTGGATTTTCTGAAACGGCCAAGTGCCAAGCTATGAAGAAGGTATTTATGTGTCCTGCTCTCTTGCTTAATTACAATTCAATTCTGTGTTCTCTAGTGGACAGAAAAGTGAATTACCCTTGTCATTGTGTTTTCTGCTCTCTGTAGGTCCTAAATTCCTATGCGTATATTTATTTACAAAGTTGAATGAACATTTTTGTGGCAATGACACTGACTCAGGGAAAATTTGAAGACTCTGTCCCAATTGGGTCTGATATGTAATCATGACTAACAGTGGAAGAAAACACCTGATCCCTCATGAGCAAGTCTGGAGCTCTGTCTGCAAAGATGAAGGCAGGAAGGGCTTAGGGTTGCACTTGGAAAGAATAGATCCCAAATGAGACTAGGAACAGTTACGAGGTGGTAATGTTTAGTTAAGAGTTTTAACAGCTTGGGGAGCAGGAGGAATGCAAACAGGTTGAACATCTTGAATCATTTCAAGTAGCCAGATGGAATGAAGGAGACTTCACTTACTGAAGCAAGCTAGTGCTTACTTTTCTAGCTGAATAGTACAGAATGAGGCATGTAAGTGAAATGTTACTCTAAGATCAGTTTGTTGCAGGATCACATAGTTTCTAAGAGAAGCAATGTGCTTGTAGCTGGAAGGCCATTTTGTAATTTAGATTCAAAAAGGAGCCTTTTGGACTTCCCTTGAATCAGCGTATGTTGGAGGTAGGCCTGCAGTACCACTGATGTCCTTAGTGCTACTTACTGTTTAAATCCAGAACTTTGCAGGATACTGGTTTGCTGCTCTATAAGGAGTGATGTGCAGGCTTGATCCGTACCTGAGTATGTCTGTTCTCCCCGCAGTATGCTGCTACAAAAAGTAACCCATATCCAGCCTGGGTAGAAAAGCTTCATAATTGCATTACAACTGAGGGAGATTCGGTACTCTTATTTTGTCCATTGCTTACGACTGAATGCAGGGCAGCTGGCTTTTTGCAAAGTGTATGGGGTTAATCAGCAAAACTGAGCTCTGAATTTGTTGAGATGGCAGTGTTTTATTAAATGCAGGTAGAGTCTAGTCTCTTTGTACTTCTCTTTTTCATTCTCTGTTTATTCCTCTAAATACTGCTGTGTTTAGGTAAAAGCACATCAACGAGTCCTTTTAGGACTATTTTAGTTTTACTGCTGAGATTTAACAATGAGTCATTTTGCTGTTTTTTAGATCTTCGATGATGCGTACAAGTCCCAACTCAGCTGTGTTGTTGTGGATGACATTGAGAGACTTCTAGGTGAGTTAGGATGATGAGAGAGTGCTACGTTGTCTGCTGTGCAGAAATATTGAAATATTTGCAATATTGAAATATAGCAATCTGGAAACGATCTGGAACCGTTTCTTTCGGGAGCATTGAACTGTTTTTGATACAGTGAAGTGGCTTAAATGTGCATCTGCTTAGTGGGCATTAAAATGCATTTTTCATTTCAGATTATGTCCCAATTGGACCACGGTTCTCTAATCTGGTGTTGCAAGCCCTCCTTGTACTGCTAAAGAAGGCCCCCCCTCAGGTAAGAAAGTAATCGAGGGGTGAGACACCCTATTCCTATAATAATTTTGACAGTGGAGAGCTTTGTGTCTTGCTGATAGCTGCTGTGCTGCCAGTGGTATTAGTGCTATTGTGTCTGATTCAGTCAAGTTAATCCTAGCCTGCTGCTGTTCATTCCGTTAGACATTTCTAGGATAACCACAAAGGATTCAGGTTTAATTACCTAATTACTTAAGGCTGAATCTTCTGCAGTTAGCCCTGGAAATACTGACTAAGGAAACAAGTTTAACTTTCACCATGTAAAATTTAAACATGCAAGCTGTCTGTTTTCTGATTAACTAAGGAACTGTTTAGTCGAAATCAATCCCTGGCTCAACCACATGCTCCCTCCTTATTTAGAAATCAGTTTCTAAGTAATGTGTGATTTTGGATGTCAGGGTTTTAATTTGTTCTTAACTTGAAATTATCAGGTGTTAATTACACTGGGTGAGGAAAGCTTAAGATCTTGCATCTCATGCTGATCCTGTATTTGCTTTCTGGCTTGATGAGGTTTAAGAACATCACAAGTGATAACGTTTCTGAAGCTTGCACTGAATTAGACAAACAGGCATGGACTCTTCTTTTTTGTTTGGCATTTTTCCTGTCATTCACTGTAATTCTACTGTGTATTTGAAAGTGTCTGCATGAGTAAATAACATACTAACAGGAAAACCTGGAAGGTTGGTGTCAGGGAAAAGCAGAGAAGCACAGCCTGGATGAACTCAATTTTTTTGTCATTTTTAATATCCTGGAAACAGTAACGGATGTGTGAATATTGTTTTCATTAGAGAGTTTGGTGAAAAGACCTTTCAAATATAGAACTTTGAACTAAATCATAATGTCATGGGCCCTGAAGTTCCCCTTGTGACTGTCAACCTGGGAGAACAAAGATTTTTTTCCCAGTGAGCTTTCTATGCCATGTGAAGTCTCTAACATGAAACTTGGATTGTGTTATCGCATATCACAGAAAGGCTGCCTGTGTGCAACAGCACAACCATTTTTGATCATCATAATCTCATGTAATCGTTGACCTATTGCTGGGTATTTCCACAGTGCCAGGAAATGATTGTTCCCATAAATCAACAGGGGAAAATAGAACTTGATTTGGTTCAGTTGTTGAAGGAACTTAAAATTTTAAATTGTCCATTTTATCGTTGCATCCTCTGAATGTATTTTGTGGCTTAGATGCACTTTCGTTGGCACCCAAGTCTCCCTGAAAGCCGGATGCAGGGCTTGAAGCTCTCAGATATTTGCCAAGTTTATGCATGTTGCTGGAGATTTGTACTTTGCAATGTTTGAAATGCCCTTGAGGCTGGAAGACTTTGGGTTGACAGCCAATATTATGGTGACTTAAGCCATAAATTGTTGGAGGGTAGAGAGAGAGTGTTTTCTGAGGAAGTGTCACTGTTTGATTGATGATGTTGGTTTTTTTCTTTTTTTTCTAAGTGTCCACTATTGGCTACTGTGGAAATTAGGACACTGGGTTAGACAAACCCTTTGGGCTGACCTAGTTTGACAGTTCTGATCACAGGGTTCTTCCTAGAATGTTTGTTTCTTGTGAGCTCCCTGTGATAGTCATGGCATGTGGGGATTTTTTTTCATTAAAAAAAGATAAAACGGTTTATAAGAGGTAGGGTAAGGCAGGAAAATACCTTTCTTTTATAGACCTTTCTGCCTCTGTGAATATTTGCTGTGAAAAAGATTGAATTTGGCTATGGAGACTCTTGGGGGTTTTTAAGCTCAAGTGAGGGAGATAATAATACTACTGCTGGTTAATCAACACCCTTCCAAGTTCCCTCTGAGGTGACTAGTTCCCTTGGGGAGCAATTTATTTGGAAGTAATGGCTGGTTTCAGAGGGTTTATTGTAATTTGAGATGCAGATACATGCTTTAAATGTACATGAGGAGAATCAGTGGTACTAACCTGGTCTATGAGGTCAAACCAACGCAAATTTCTGTGGGATTGCGATCATGGTTTAGGTCCATTCCTTGTAAAAACAGAGTGTCCTGGGACATGCCAGGCATATCCCTCTGCTGAGAGAAATCATTGGCAAGATACTGGAGAGACAATACCTGTTCTCTGTTGCTATCAGATTGACTAGTGAAATGGTAAAAAGCCTAAGAAGCCCAAAATATAGAGTTGATTTGAAAAGTTTAGAAACAGGAATGGTGAAGCAGTTGAAATTGCAAGCAAGGAGTGAGTGGGAAGCAGAGGGTGTGTTTCAGCAGTGCAACTCTGCTGCTCCCATCTTTGTGGCCCAGATTGTGTATTCACATGGTGTTGTCACATCACTTGCAGAGAGTATACCTAATGTGCAAGCAGCTTCCTACAAATACCGTAGGCTACGTGTACAAGAGGAGCATTTTTGGGATGAAGTGTTATTAATTATGCATTGAGGTATATGTCTTTGTTGAATTGGTTTATGAAAGCTGCTTCCCAGACTCCCCTCTTCCTATTGAGGCTACATTATTTTAACGCGGTGTGGGAAGGGGAAATACTTGAAGCTTCTGGTTTTCTGGGCTTTCTGGCTTGTTTGTACTTTGCTGAAGTTTTGAGAGTGAACATGTTAGACCGTAAAGAAACTAGAAATATCTCTGAGTTTGCTTTAAATTCCCAGTCACAGCTCATGCTTGCTAGTTCCACTCAGCAATACTTAAATAGTGGTATCTATTACTACTAGTTCAAGAAGACTGAAAAACATTGCATTTTGTTTAGCATCTTTTTTTAAACCAATTAAAAATCTTTTCTAAAATGGATTGAAGAGAAGAAAATAAACCATGTTCTCCTAGGTCTTTATTTCAATCAAGTTTTCCTGTGTTGTGCAGGAGAAGAGACATGGGGGGATAGAAAGACTGAAAAGGACTGTCGCAGCAGGGAGCCAAGCGGGAGAAAAGGACTTCTCTGAGAACTAAGCAGCAGCAGCTCCGAAAGCTGAAGCTGCTTCATCTACATGCAGAGTCACACAAGGCATGGAGACACTCACCAGCCCCACAGAGTTTTCACATGTGCTTCCCTGCTGGTTCCTGTGAAAAGCTAACAATTGGCTCAAAGGGTGAAAGACCATTGCAGCATCCCTGCACTAAGCTGGGCGTACAATTTGTGCAGTGTTATGAAATGTCTGGCTTAGCGAAATGCTCTCGACCACTCTTATGGATGCCCTTCCACTGCTCCCAGAGGCCCCCAGCCCCTTTCCTCTCTGAGACACTGGAGGCTTTTGCCAATTTATGAAAGTTGACGGAGGAAAGGGGGGAATAATCTCCTTGTTTGATATAATCCCAGATGCATTTGTGATTCCACGTCACTTGGTGTGAATTGGAAGCAACTCTAATCAGCAGTGACTTTACCTTTATACTTGTAAACCTGGGGAACTGTGGTTTTGTCCCATTATATGTGAAGAATTGTTGATACCCCAAAACACATGCATAAAAATATACAACGGTCCAAAGTTGAGTGAACAGCTGCTGGATGACCGACAGAGGCACTTCAGTATCCACCAATACTTAGTTATAGCATAGTTCAAGTTCCCCTCAACTCCCCTTGCCTAGGGCTGCCTAGATTTGCTGAAATTCTGTAATTTGAGACTCCACTGACACATTGAGACTCCCTTTGCTTGTAGCAGAGTCTATGTAATTCTTTTATGTTCTTCATCTTTGGTAGTCAATGCAGTAATACGGTGCCCATTAGGAAGTGAATACTGTGTTAGAAGAATCGACCTCGTAATGCTTGAAAATGTAGTCGTTTAAAACTACTTCCTCTTTTGATCTTCGAGTCCCATAGTTCTCTGTGTGATTATATCCTCGATTCAGGTAAAATCCCTATAGTAGAGAGGTGAAATCTGGGGTTATCCCACTTCTAGAAGGCAGTGAGGTAAGATAATGCACCTCTCTACTGGGTATCCCCCCATCAGTGTAGAGGGATCTTGGGCTCCAAACTGGGGCATTTTTATTGCCTAAAAATGGACAGGATGAATCCAGACTTCAGTGATGTGCCTGTATCTAATCTCTGTTGATGGAAGAACTAGGCCTAGAACTGTCCTGGTAATGAGTCTTATACCAAATAGTCTTAAGCTGTTAAAAAGCCAAGTTCATCCTTACTTGGTAGTTACTCTCTTCTTATGCCTGATTTTTGGAAGTTCAGTTGGATCCTGATCTTTTGTGGCCAGAACACATGGGACGTTGCCTTTGCAATGGCTGCTGTAGAAATTAAGAATCAAAAACCGTGAATATTTCTGAAAATGGGGGCACTTTAGCAGTACATCTCACAATAGCAAGAATAAATCCAGTGATACCCTGTGGTGTGTTGTCACTGCAGAACAGTTGGATGAGTGCAGCTTTTTCAATTCAGCTTGATGGCTTTTCATGCTTTTGTGGTAATGCCTGGGGCAAAACATTTCTGACTTGTAGGTTTTCCACTTGTTTGCTGAGCAAATTGCCTGAAACTTTGAAAAGTACAATGGACTCCTAACATTTCATTTTCTTTTAGTAGTTGATATAGCAGAGATTATGCTCATTTTACGGTAACTGGTTTTCCAGTGGGTCAAGTTTAAAGGTAGCAAGTTGAAGCACATAGCTTCATTTGAAGAAAACAGGGAAAAAATCAGTATGTTTTGGGTGGAGCTGTTAAAAAATTTGAACTGCTGTTTTGCAGAGTAGACTTCTGTTCTCAGAAGTTTTCAACCATTCAGTTGTCAGTGGTGCAGTGTCCTGAGCATGGATCCTAACAGAGATATGTAAAAATTGCTGATGGATCTCACCTGTCTTAACTTATCCTCTTGCTTTTGAGCCTTGTTAAGTTTTTGCCATTCTTAGTGTCATGCTTGCTTGAGTTCAACTGAACTCTATGGTGAAAGCAAACATCATTTTGTTCAGGTTAAAACCGATGCTTGATCATTTCATGTGGTGCTCCCTAGTTTTTATCTTGAGAAACAGCAGTTTTCTCCTTCATCTCCTCTACGCCATCTATGATTTTATAGACCTCTGTGTTTACCCCCCCATCAATTTACCGAGAGTCTATTTAGGGAATTTATTCCGTATTTCTGACCATCCCCATTGCTTTCCTCTGATTTCTCCATCACAGTATTTGAAATTGTATTTGAAAGGGCTAGGATTACTTAAGGTCTTAAAGAGCACCCTGGATTCATACAGTAGAATAATGACTCTTATTTTACTCTTTTTCCCATTCTAAAAATGTCTGAGTGTTTGCATTTTGAGTAAGGTTTAGCATTGAGCTGGTGTTTTCACAGAACTTGCCACAATGACCGGTTGCAGTGGCTTTCCTAAATGGCAATAAGAAATTTAGAGCCATTTTTGTGTGTGTAGTAATTGTCCGCTGGCCTAATTTACAGCAAGTTTGGAATTCATCTGACTAAATGTGGCTGTCAGCGGTTTGGTTTTCTACGACTGAACTAGTTGTTTAGAAAATAGTTTGCTGTATGAGCCCAGAGTGTAGGCAGCTTTTCTGGGAGGAGGTATGTGTCATCTGGGCTCCTTTAACTAAAAAGGAAATGTGGAGAATGAGGTCATATGTGGACACCTGAAGTTACAAGAGGTAAAATTCACCTCACTAATTACGTTTCTGTGCTGTTTACATCTTTTCCTGGTGAGACTTTTTAGTCTCTGATGAAACTCCAAACAAGACTCCATTTTTATTATAATTAAGCATGGGCTTCATCAATGTAGAAGTTGCTCAGGTAGCACCCTTCAAGCAGTTAGTCTGCAAGTTGTTATTCCCTTGATTGATGTCTTATCTGCTGTGCCAGACACTGTACACATGCTGTTAGCTGTATTTTGGGAACAGATACTGCTTTGCTGGCTGCAGTTGAGTGTTTGTTTTGTTTTTTTTTTCCCCCTAAAATGCTCATAGTTCATGGGAAACTGTTATTAACACAACCCCTTACCCAAGCTGTTCTGGGTTTTGGGAGTTACATACAGTAATAAACACTTTTTTTAAAAAAAGAATTGCTATAGCTTGTAAAGCAGACTGGTGTTGGTGGTATAGCATTGCATGGATTTGTGCTTGCAAGAGTGGGTTGGTGCATGTTTTGGAGGTGGCAGTTCTGTTCAAGAGTTGGCCTTTGGCTTCCTTTTTACCCTGATACCTTACCTGTATAATGAGAAAACTGTTTGCAGGTACCTAATAGCATGCATATGACTTGCTACAATTTTTTTGCATAAGATAGCAGAAATTCTCCTTACAGAACTTATACTTTTTACTGAGTTGTAGCGTGTATAATATCAGATGTTAACAGCATTATTTATCAATTGAATAAAAACTCACTGAGGACACTGTGTTGAGGAAATACAGAGCAACCATGCAAGCAAAGTAAATCAGAATAGAGATGAAATTTTCTCAATCAAATCCCCTGATAATCCCTGTCTCTATGTTCTGAAGATTTTAAGCATGCATCCATTCTGCTGTCATGTGTGCTGTTATCCCAAGTATATCTTAGCAAGTTGAAGGCACCTTTTAACCTTGTCTTTGGGTGGTAACTTCAGAGCAAATGTCAGAGGTACGACGCTTCTGTGGTTCACAAACAGGTGATGGTTCAGGTGTTCTTGGGGGACTCATTTCACACAGCTTCCAAGTCTGTTTTACCAACCATTTGCACAGATGAAGATGGCTAAAGTTTTGTCTTCATGTAGACAAAAATCTTTTCTGTTGCCGAGCATCATTTATTTTTCTTGGTCTGTTAAGAGCTTTAGCTGAAAATGAACACCTGATGGGGCTTTCTGAATTCCTTGTAGGAGTGAAAATCAAATGCCATTCACTTACTCTCCACAGAGTGCATTGTTTTTTCATCTTTGCATACAAGATCTTCCTGAATTGCTCAGATTTGGCTCGAACTTGTAAAACGACAAAATATTTTCCTGGCCTTGCTGCACAATGACCATCAAAAAGGAAACAAATAATGTGCAGTTGTAAAGCTGTGGACACACAGAACATAGTGGAAGCAGCAGCCTACAGAACAGTTGTATTTGTGCTTTCTGCAGACATTGTATGCCCTTCTCAAGGCTACCTGCAGACATTTTTAGACGCTCAGACCTTTTTTTGCTTGCTGCATGCCACCAGCAGGCAAGTTTTGTCTAGTAATAAAGCATTCCTTACTCCCACTGCAGTTTTAAACCTGGCATTTCTGTTGTCAGTTCAGGAATTGGCTACATTTCCCTATTAAGTTGCCCGGTAGGTTTCTGAGGATTTCCCCCTCTAAAGAGGTGACTGAGCTGGGGAGTGTGGTGCCTCCTGAGGTGTAGACAGTGATTAATACACAACATTTCCCTCTCAAAGGCTTTGAGTGAAGCTCATGACCTGCGGCATGCTCTGATTTCAACCTGCCAGCCATTGCTTCCTCATGCTATCTTGACCTAAAAACAAACTTGAAGTGAGCACTTAAGTTCGTTACCAGTTGTGGTGCTTTCTCATTGTTCGTCACCCAAAGCAGAAGTGTAATCTGTTCAAACACAGAAAGTCAGTGAATGCAATGGTGCTCAGGGAAAAAAGACCATGTTTTGCATCATCTTCATCAAAGCTGTATTAAATTTAAGTAGGTTTTCATACTTTGTCAAAGGAATCCAAAGCACTTATGAAATAATTCTGGATGCTCTGAGGGAATAGGTTTTAGATTTTGGTTGGTTTTGGTTTTTTTATAATGATGAACAGAGTTTTGCATCACAAAGTTGAAATTTAGAACGTTTACTCTGTCTCTGAGCTACAGCTAAACTTCAGTACAGCAAATGAGGAGGATACTTGACCAGGCAGGGCTGGCCATGGGCTGCTTGTGTTCTGAATTGGAAAATGGACTGATCACCGCCGATAATCCCAACAGCTTCTTCCGTCAGGCAACATTTATTGGTGTCTGAACACTGCATGGTAAAATGCAAGTAGCATCAAAATGGCAGTTGCAAGATGAACTAACAAAAGTTGATTTTTATTCGCAGTTGATGTTTGCCATTCATTGCTCAGGCCAACTTGGAATTGGTGTGTGCACTGTCGGCTTGAACTCAGAGGCTGCCAGACGTGGAACTGTCCTTTTATATAACCACACTGGCAATGGGAAGTCTTACAAACTTACAGCAACCTCTACTGTTAAAGCATGGGCTGTAAAACCATTGGAACTGTCTGCACAGTGGCAGAGAATTCACTGTACCCACAGGACTTCTAAAGACAGGCTGTTCCCCCCGGAAGTCAACTGTAATTTAGCTTTTGGGAGTGGGGGTTTGCTCATGCTTTTAAATTTACTGAGGATTCAGCTATTTCTAATGATGACTTTAGAAGGAAAAGTAAGATAAAAAAGCTGCGAGTATGGGTGGGTCTTCTGTGTACCATAATTTTTGGTGGCATTACTCTGTTTTCTGAAATCTGATCCTAGTCTTGTATGGTTGATGTTGACTACTCCAATTACTGACAGATTTAATCCTATTAATTTTAAGTGGTATTTTCCATTGGCCATTTTCCATTTTTCATTTGTAGTTAGCCGAAACTTCCCAAGGCTGTTTTCTTTCTTGTTTTTCCTTTCTTGACACTTACTCCATTGTGTGGACAGGGGCGCAAGCTTCTAATCATTGGAACCACCAGTCGCAAAGATGTCCTGCAGGAAATGGAAATGCTGAATGCTTTCAGCACTACAATTCATGTGCCCAACATTGCAACAGGGGAGCAGCTGATGGAGGCTTTGGAGGTGAGAAAAAGTTCCAGGATGACAAACAAGCTCAGAATTTGCTGGAAATGAGTGATTTTTGCAGTAGCTCTGCGTTTGGGAACACTGTCCAACTTAACGTTATGTTATAACATAACAGTTCTAGGACTTCTCTGAATTACTTTTTCATACAGTAAATTAAGGCAACATGAGAGAAGAATGGTAGATCTAGGGAAGAAGTTTTTAGGAGTGGATTAGAAGATTCTGAGGGCATGGAAGTGGGTAATGAATATAATTGGGACAGTTAAACTGAATGTGCCTGGAGTGTGCCAAGCTCACACAAATTGGAACTACATCAAATGAAGATGTTTGTTGCTGGAGAGATTATAGGTTCTTTATAAATTCGTGCTCTTAATGGCTTCTTATTCTATGGCATAGTGGAAATTGTAGTGAATATTGAAGGCTGTTAAAATAAACTTAACAGGCAAATCTTCTGTGCTAACTTGCAAAATTGTCACGATAATATCACCAAAGCCTGAAAGACACAGACGCTCTTGTGGCAGTTTTGAAAACTTACTGTGACTTGAGCCACTGTGTTCCTTCGAGACTCTAATCTGGGGAAAACCTAGAACGCATCATAAAAGAGAATCACAAGCTGTTTAATTAGAGATGGTATGCAAATACGCATTATGGAATAAGAGAATCTAGGTATTTTGCGCCTTGTCTAGATATATTGCAACAAATTTTCCTTCTAAGCTAGAAAATGCTTTCTAGCTTCTCATTCCCTTTTTCCTGAGTTAGGTAGCATTATTCCTACTGACAATCTTCTGTTGTTGATTTTTTTTTTTTTTTTTTTTCCCTTCCCCCCCAGCTCCTGGGTAACTTCAAAGACAAGGAACGCAGCACTATTGCACAGAACGTCAAAGGGAAGCCTGTCTGGATTGGTATCAAGAAGCTGCTGATGCTGATAGAAATGTCATTACAAGTAAGAATGTTTCTGGTCCAGGAAGGACTGGGGTAAACAGAGCAGTCTTAGAGGTTCCGACTTCTCTGCAGACTCCTACTTTAGATGTGTGGTAGGAGCCTTTGAATCAGTTTAATTGAGAAAAGAGCTAGAGTGAGAAGCAATTTTCTGAACAAAGAAAACACCAGGTCTCGGTCCATGGAGAGATCTTTAAAAACCACGGTGCCTATAGGCTGTTTAGAGCTGCACTTCAGAGAACAGCATCTGGCAATGGGAGGGATTGGATTAACTTACCTTTCATGAAATTTCTTCTCTACACCCAGCATGTTAAGATTGCAGATAGCAATCACTTGGGAATTTTTTTTTTTTTTTAAAGGAAAAAGGTGCCTGTGCAGGTGTATGTGCTCTTTCCTTGAAGACGATACA